TTGATTAGTTCTTATGTTTATTTTGGCCCATTCATGTATGATCTCCATTATCTCTTGATGACCATATATCAATGTACAGTGAGTTTGCATCAAGCCTGTAACTGTGTCCACAAAAGTCAAAGCATATTTGACCCCTTCCAATAGCGGGAGATGGCTAGCGTAGTGTATCTGCCATCACTGAAAAGGGATGTCATCTTGTTTTATGTGCCTTTGTATCATCTGATTAAATGTCTCTGTATGATGTTGTTGTAGGTATAGCTCTGAGAGTAGGCAAGACGGTTTTAGCATGCAGCAACAATATCATTTTTTTTTTTTTTTTTGGTACCAGGGATTGAACCCAGGGGTGTTTAACCACTGAACCACATCCCCAGCCCTTTTCATTTTTTTTATTTTGAGACAACTTGCTAAGTTGCTTAAGGCCTCACTATTTGCTGAGGCTGACTTTGAACTTGTGATCCTTCTGCCTTAGTCTCCAGAGCCACTGGGATTACAGGCATGCACCACCGTGCCCAGCTAGGATTCTTTTCTTTTTGGTACCAGGGATTGAACTCAGGGGCACTCAACCACTGAGCAACATCCCCAGCCCTATTTAGTATTTTATTTAGAGACAGGATCTCACTGAGTTGCTTAGTTCCTCGCAGTTGCTGAAGCTGGCTTTGACCTCACAATCCTTCTGTCTCAGCCTCCTAAGCCACTGGGATTATAAGCGTGTGCCACCGTACCTGGTTTAGGATTCATTCTGATATAATTATAAAACCATGGAGTATAATTTGCTTTAACTCAGTTCCTGGTACTTGCCTTTCCCCTCTCCTTCTTCTTCCTCCAGTTCCCTTCCCTCTACTCTATTGATCTTTCTTTTTTTTTCCGCCACATTTTTTTTATCGGTACATTATAGTTGTATACTATACTGATCTTTCTGCTATTTACTAATATTTTTTAAATTAGTGCCTTGTGGATATACATAATGGTGAGATTCACTGTGGTATATTTATGTATGTATGTAGGAAAGTTATGTCAGATTCGTTTCACTGTTCCTGTCCCTTCTCCCTCTCTCTCACTCTCCTTCCACTACTCTGCTGATCTGTCTTCTATTTTGATGGACTCCCCCACCTTTTTTTCCCCACCCTTTATTTTGGATTAGCTTCCGCATATCAGAGAAAATATTCGGCCTTTGACTTTCTGGGTCCAGCTTATTTCTCTTAGTATGAGAGTCTCCATTCTATTTATTTACTAGAAAATCCCATAATTTCATTCATCCTGCTTTCTTAGCAGCCACATAGGGTAGTTAAAGGGACTGTGGTTTGAGCAAATTATGTTTATTTTGGCCCATTCATGTATGATCTCCATTATCTCTTGATGACCACCAGGAAGCCAGTATTGTTTGGTGGTAATTATCTGGCCAAAAGGAAGCTGTTTTATATGCGCCCTTAAGATTGGCTTTACAATAAGTAAATAAATAAATAAATAAATATTAAAAGAAAACATGAATAAGCAATCAGCAAAGAAGTAGAAAAAATATATTGGTTTTACAGTTGACACATGTTTAATCTCCCAGCAATGCAAATAGAACTTTCTTACTGTAGAGAGTAAGATATTTTTGTAGTTTGTAGATATTTACCCCATAAGTTATCAATATCTATAATATATCGAGGAATGGGAGCTATAAACACCAGGTGGGGTGGGTGGCAGGAGTCAAAGCTGCAGTGTCAATGTTATGGTTCAGACTTTTGATATTTTCCCCTCATGTCTTTTGAGGCAGCTAACTTGCTTGAGAATTTGTCAGGATTACCATATATCAATGTACATTGAGTTCACATATCCACTAATACTGTTACTCTGAATATTTTTTGAAGAGTAACGTATTGCCAATTGTATATATGGCCTCTGGTCCAGAGACATGGCTCAGACCTCTGTGCCTTGATTTTTCCCCCTAGTCAGCCCATAACCAGGTGTTCATAAACTCCTCAGGGGGAGCTATGACTCTGCTTTCATTATTTCTCCTAATAGGAAAGGCTTGTCTTTGTATCCTCTGGGCATAGGAGACACATTTACCTTTCTGTCTCTTTCCCTTTTTCTTATTGAGAGGTAATATATGAAACTTTCTGTCCTTTGGCAATTGCTTACATAATTGTACTAGAGTGCCACTAGGTTTTTAATTTTACTTTCATCCACTCCTGCTGTTATTAATCCCACTTACATCTGCTCACAGGAGTCTTGGAGAGATCCTCCAAGTTTTAGCAGGGTTTTTTGGATTTGCATTTTCTGTGGCAATCTTTCTGTCTCCCCTAGGTCTGATATCAGTTGCACTTCTCATTATCCCCTACTAATGGGGATAATATTGATATAGGATACCATAAATGGACAGAGGGGCTGTGTGTAATGCTGCATGCCTCATTGCAACTTTGAAAATCATACTGTCTGGTCCTGGGAAAGGCTGCGTATAAATAGCATGTTTCTCCCCCAGTTCCCACAAATAGTTCTTCCATAGAAACCCAGATGCCTCTGGGCAAAGGAACATCTGAATTTGGCCATGCGGTATGAGTGGCAAAAAGCAGCCAACCTAGTAAAATGACTCCACATTTTCATCAGTGGCACTGGTATAAAGTTACTGATGCAAAGCAGGGTGAAGAGTTACCAAAACCATTTTAGACAATTCCATCTGACATTATCCCATCTGCTCCAGAGTACCACAAATGGAACAGCCATGCCGGTATACTTTTTTTTTCTTTCATTTCTGCCTGTAATTGGACCCCAGTTCCTGTAGTTCTGCCAGGGTATATAGAGAGATTTGGTATATCTCTCCAGAGTGGGGGAAGAACATCTGGATCAGTCCCTTCAGGTCACTCCTGCTGGATCTTTAACTTTTGGACCATTTCAAGACTAGCTTCCATTACGGTTTTGTTCTCTACCTCAACTTCTGAATCACTGGAGCTAGTGGACACCCTGAGTGGGTCCCAAATATGAGGATACCAGTTTTCACTAGTCACTGACACCTTAACATGGGCTCTGGGCCTGCAATGTCCCCTTAATTTAGCATAACAGCATGCCAGGAGCTGTAGACATTTGTCTGCAAGTTCTAAACGGTGTGACAGCACATCCTTGCTGTTAGCCTGTATAAAACAGGCATCTCTTTCTAGTCTTAACTTTTCTGTACTATGTGTAGTTGAACCTGACTAGCTAACTCCTGTTCTGTGGCTAACTTTAATGCACAGGGCAGGGGCCTTACCACCACTCCAGAAACATTCTTTGTTTCCTTTTGCTTTCCCACAACTACTTTGGATGCTGCTTTCAACACTTGTAGCACTCCTCCTTACATTTTGGCATGTCCCCATAGGCACATGGTAGTCCCCACCCCTCTAATATGGAAGCCACCTCAAACCACATCAAGGCTGTGACTAACCCAGGATTTCCTCTCCAGAACCCATGTCCTTCTCCAACTCCAGAGCCAACACAATACATTCCTCTTGGGGATCCTTCTGACTGTGCCAGTTGTTCAACCCCAGAGCTGCAGTATTCCCCAAGAATACTGTTTACCAATCCCAAAGACAGAACTTGGAGGATTCAAAAAAGAGATTTTGGTCATTTAATTATTCACACACTCCTCTGAGGTAGCAGGCCAGGATACAGTGGAGAGCCAAACTGTGCCTACAAGCGGGCACCTGCAGGATAGGCTGCATGCCCACTGTGCAGATGGATTTCTTGAGATGTTTTATGAGTGTATTCTTTTACCTTACAACCAAGGTCACTCTGCTTTGATCCTCACCTAAATACTGGAGACACGGAAGTGGCCAGTTTCCCCTCTCCATTTCCTTCTTTATTGTTTAGAGTCCTTACTTCACCACCTAGAACAAGATTTCCTAGGTACTGACTGGGTATACCCCAACAAGATCCAATTTAATTTCCCCTCCATATAATCAATTGTCATAATACAGTTTATTAGTCCATCATTTCTCATTCATTTTTATGGTGCGGGGAAGCAATTGTTGTCTTGAGAATAATAACTATCTAAACAAAATATAAGCAGTTGAAACCAATGAGGTTTTAAATTTTGGGGAGGGGCATATTGGGAATTGAACCCAGTGCCACTTAACCACTGAGCCCAGCTGCCCCCCCTCTTTTAAAAAATATTTTTAGTTGTATATGGCACCTTTATTTATTTGTGTGGTGCTGAGAATCAAACCCAGTGCCTCACCCAGTGCTAGGCAAGTGCTCTCCAACAGAGCCATAGCCCCAGCCCTCCCCAAACTTTTTAAATATTTTATTTAGAGACAGGGTCTTGCTGAGTTGCTTAGGGCCTTGCTAAATTTCTGAGGCTGGCTTTGAACTCGCAAACCTCCTGCCTCAGCCTCCCAAGGTGCTAGAATTACAGGCGTGCCCCACTGTGCCCTACCCAACAAGTTGTTTTTGGAAATGATAACAATATTATGAACAAGTTGTTTACCTGGGAATCAAGAATGGTTCATCATTGGAAAGTCTAATAATGTGATTGATCTCATAAACAGGTTAAAGGAAAATATTCATATCATCATCTCAATAACTGCAGAAAAAGAATGTAATAAAATATAATTGCTAATATTTTGTTTTTCCTTAAATTCACTCTTTCTAGAAATTATTAAAAAATTCAGAGCAGAAAAAAAAATCAAACTAGAAACAAAACAAAGAGACTGCAGTGCCTTATTATGGTGTCTGCCCTATAGCAGTCTTTGCTCAAGATGGCTTCATAAGGTCACTTTCAGCCCTTCACTTCTGTGACCACAAATAGCATCTTTGGCAAACCTGGTTTCAGTTGGGCCTTTGCTCACCTCCTGAATTCCACGCAGGGTCTTAAAAACCCTTGAGGAATAAAAGATTTAAGCCTGCCCAATGGACTCCGTGATTCCGTACTTATAAAAGTGCCCCAAACGGGGGTGGTGGGGAAGGAGGGGACGGATGCCTTAGGAGCAATCAGAGACCGGTCTGCGCGATCTGCCAAGTCACTGGCTCTGCCTAGGACCCAGAAATGAGAACGCTCCCGAGACTGGTGGATCTGTCCCTCCTCTGGAGAAAGGATGCGGGCACCCGATCTAAGGTGCAGAATCAAGGGTCCGGCTGTCTGAGAGCGCTAAGAAGCAGAAGCCTCCTAGGTGTTGGTGGCAGGCAGGGTCACCAGGCTTGGGGATCCGGAGGCCTGGCGGAGAGATATACCAAGGGCAGCAGCGGGGAATCAGAAGGCGAGCGAGGAAGCCGCCGAGACTCAGAGAACTCAGGAGCGCTGTTGGGACCTGTGAGGGGTCGGATGTAAGGGGCTGGCTGGGACGACCCTAGCCCAGAGTTCCCTTCTGGTCTACAGAGACGTCCTCTGGACTCGGCGAAGAAAGGAGTGAGTTGAGTGGCTTTCCAGCCTCAGCGGTGCGGAAGTGCAGCAATGACGGAAGAACCAGAGCGGCCTGTACGGCCTCGAACTCAGGTGAGCCACTCTTCCCAGATGCCCCGAATATCCCTTAACATCCGGGCCTCCAGAATCCCTTGCCGCCACCTCAGCGTCTCTGCGCCCCGTGGGCCTGCACCTGAGTCTCCAGGGCATACCCTAGCTTGCCTTGCGCGAGACCTTTATTCCAGGGAGCCCCCTCGACACCCACTGCGCTTGCGCGTCCGCTTCTGCCTTTATTACTTTGCCAGGCTCAGAAGCCAATTGCGCGTGCGCTGTCACTTCACTCTCTGTTTGGAACTGCTGCATCGCCCTCTCTCGGCTCGAAGGTTTACCTGCTGCATGCGGCTGGCGGCTGAGGTTTCCCTGGCACCGGGCAACTCGCAGGCTCTTCATTCCGCTGAGTTTCATGCCCTCCTGCTATTTGGAAAGCTCCGAATTCCAAAACTTGCCCGGCCCAGTCGTTTCTGATGAGGGACTAGGGACCTGCAAGTAACTATACAGGAGCAGTCCTCCTTGAAGGCTTAACGAAGGTGTTCATTTGTACAAAACTTTTGTGGATGTATGTACAGTGGAGTTAGGTGCTAGGTCAAAGGAGCATAAGCAGGTATTCATGCCCAGGGATGGCCTGTGGGACATCCCAGTCTAGCAACCCTTTCATGATTGTATTGCTCCCAGGGTCCTTGCTCCTTGTGTGGGCCAGACAGACCCCAAGAGGCAGTAGTCTTCTAAAGAAGGCAGCCCTGGCAACTCACTCCTGTGACTGTTTCCCGCGTCACTGTCCCTCTTCATTGACCTGTCTTCCAAACTGTGGCAAGGTCTTTTGCAGAATCCTGTCCTCCAAAGCCTCTTCTAGTACTCCTCCACCCCTTAGCACAGTATGTCAAAGAATGGTGAATGTACTTCTGTCTTTTTTCTGATTCTATCTGTCCCCCAGCATCCTTCCTCATTGGAGCAAGCACTTGATAATAAAAAATAGATTGTAGATTCTGGAAATTCTACACAAAACCTTTAGCCATATATTCTTCTGTCATAAAATTTGTATTTAAGTATTCAAAAGCAATAAAAAACATGGCTTAATGAATTTGACTTGTATTACTGTAAATCTGTAGGACAATTTGCCAGAACAAGAAAAGCAGTGTGATATTTGGGGTGAAAAGGTTAATAATTTTATTTTTATAAGATCAACTACTTCGTGAATGTGTAGGAAAATATCTGAGGGAAGCAGTTCATCATGTGCTTTTAGGGGAGTGAAGAACTTTGGTATAACTACATTTTCAAAAATCTTAATGGGTATGTCTTTTTTGTTTTTCTCTTTTGCAGTAGTGAGAGTAGAACTCAAGGTCTTCTGCATGCTAGGCAAGCTCTCTACCACTGAACTATACCCCCAACCCTGATCATGTCATTTGGTAATTAGGAAATCCTAAAAGGAAAAATGGAAATGATATTGTGAATTTCTAAAAAAAAATACCAATGACATGGAATGGAACATCAAGGTCCCGAGTCCTCTTGACTGGGTGTCTTGGGAAATCCTCCCACCTTCTCTAAGGGAGTTGTGCTAATATGAAAAGCTGTCCTTTCTGTCCTGGCACACATGCATCCAGCCTGGAGTTAGGTATTATCTTTAGGTACAGGCAAGGAAGTGACTCCAAGAGTACAAGGGAGTCAGGGAAGAGCTGGCTCTGGAACCTAGACGCCTCCACCATATATGGCTACTTGTCTATTGCTTCATTTACCCTGCAAGTTCCCTCACATGTAGGACTACATGGCCACTTTCTTTTAGCTTCATTGCAAAACAGGCTGGTGAGTGATAAGAGGAAGCTTAGTTCAGGTTCCTGGGGCCCAGTCACTCTATTGGAGAATGTTTCCCCGGGGCCGGGGGTGTGGGGGGGTGGGGAATCATTGGGACTCAGGGGCTGCTGTCCTGTTAGAGACAGAGCTTCACTCCACTGGGTCCCCAGCTCAGGGGATTGTCCTCATAACCACAGCAGACATGCCTAGGGGAAGTCCAACAAAGAGGCTGCGAACTGCTTTCCATCTCAGGAAAATGCTGGCTGAGGGAAGGAGGGGTGAGGTGGAGTTACCTCCGGGACTCCGAGCAAAAAGCTTGATTTCCCCCTGCTACCTGCTCGCCATGTGACCTAGGTAACTCCTCTCTCAGGTTTCTCATTTGCAAAAGGGAGACATTGTTGCCTGGCTCAAATCAATGGCCAAGCTGTGATTGGTAGGTCTGGCCCAGGGAGGGAGGATGAGGTTGTCTTTAGTCATTTTGTGTCTTCCCTTATCTCCTCTGATTCAGGGTAGGGTCCTGTTCCTGGTCATCTTTGCAGCTGGCATTGGTGGAACTTTTCAGTTTGGCTACAACCTTTCCATTATCAATGCTCCAACCTTGGTAGGTACCTTCTGTGCCCATTGTCAAGGTCTGAGTGGGTACTGGGTCAAGGCCGAGAGCTGTCCACTGTGGGACTTTAGCTCAGCACTCACTTAGTAGTGCCTCTTCCCATCTCTTCTTTTCCACTGGCATGTCCCACAGATTTCTGCAGCTTTACATGGAGCTCTTTGCATCCTCCCCAAAACTAATGTCCTCCTGAGTCTCTGATCTGAATCACCTAATACCTATTGATGTGGGGATTATCCTTGACACTTCCCTTCCACTCTTGGACACCAAGCCCATCCTAACTACCTCTAGAATCCAGATATTTCTTTCCATGTTTCTGCCACAACCCCAATTCTAGTGCAGCCTCCTCATTGGCCTCCCTGCGTTCAGCAGCCTTCCTGTCCCCCTCTCCCTCCTTCCACCCCTCTCCCTTCCTTCTCCTCCTCATTTTCTCCTCCTCCTCCTCCTCCTCCTCCTCCTTCTATTCCTCTTTCTTCTCTTCCCCCTTCTTTCCTTCCCTCCTCACCTTTCTCATTCTTTTGCTCATTCTTCTTCCTTCTCCTCCCCTTTCCTGTTCTTTCTTTCCCTCCCTCCCTTTCTTCCTTCCTTTCTTCTTTCCTTCCTTCCTTCCTTCTTTCCTTCCTTCCTTCCTTTTCTCTGGGGTCTGGCTTTAGTGCCAAGGCTTGACTCCATTCTGTATTCTCCTCCTGCCTCAGCTTCCTGGGTAGCTGGAAATACAGACATGTGCTACTGTACCCACTCAGCTTTTTCCTTTTTTGAGCTCCCCTAAGTTTGTCAACTCATTCCCCTGCCAAGAAACATTCAGTGATTCTCCCCAGTGCTCATAGGACAGGACAGATTAATCCACCTGAAGTTCAAGGCCTCATGGGATCAAAACCTCTCCCTCTGTCATCCACTTTCAACCTTGATAACAAAGCATGTTAAATGTAGTTTCCCAAATGTCCATGACACAGCCTCTTCTATAAGCTTCCTTCCACTGGGAAGCACTCTCTTCTCTCTTGCTGCATGTTTGCGTCCCCAGCATTTTACACTATCTGGGCCCATTGTAATGTTCAGTGAGTTCCTATGAGAAAAGATGAATTTTGCAGCCCCAGTGAAAGAAGTTCACCTCTAAATTGCTTGAGTGTGAAGGACAAGTGTCTCGTTACAGAGATGGGAACCATGTGGGGCTTCACCCAGATAGGAGGGAAAAGCTACAGGGACCAGAACCTAAGACAAAACTGTGATTCTGTTGCTCCTGCCTGGCCTTGTTCTCTTCCCAGTGGGCAAGAATGCAACCATCACCAGATTCACTTCCTACCAGCTGAGAACTATTCCCCCTCCCCAGCAGTTGAAAGGTCTGGGAAGAGTCCAGTTGAATCATTTTGGTCACATGCTTACCCCCCTAGACTAATCATGTGGTCAGGAGGGTGGCATTTTCAAATTGCCTAAGTCTGAGTCTGGTAATCATTTGATCATTTTTTTGTGTGTGTGTGGGGGGAGTACCAGGGATTAAATTTAGGGGCACTTGATCACTGAGCCACATCCCCAACCCTATTTTATATTTTAATTAGAGACAGGGTCTCACTGAGTTGCTTAGCACCTCGATTTTGCTGAGGCTGGCATTGAACTAGTGATCCTTCTGCCTCTCAGCCTCCTGAGTTGCTGGGATTACAGGCTTATGCCACCATGCCCAGCAGGTGATCCTATTTATGGAGGCAGAAGGAGCTATAATTGATCAGTGAAGAAAACTTCCTCTGAAGGACTATTTATTAGCAGAAAACGTGAGTATTCTGGGCAGACACAATGATAACAGCCCAGCCCCTTAAAGAAAGGATAAAATGAAATGTTTCAAGAGGTCTGAACTGGCTACATTGGTTTATAAATTTCATTCAACAAGCATTTTAGTGCCCACTTAAGTGCAGATTCACATATTGGGGAGCAATCTCTTCATGGCAGGACAGTATCAGATCTTTTCTCCTGTGGGACAGCACCATCCCTCAAAAATGAGACTTTCTTGGGCTTGGAGGCTCCTCTTAGTCTGCTGAATGATGTTAAAGAAAATATACTATTTTGTTAAAGAAAAAAAATAGAATCAATGACACTTGTTAAACCACAGTAAGAAAGAATTTATTGATGGGAAGCCATGGCAATAAGTATAGGGACCACTCATGGGGTCCTGCAGTGGAGGAGAGAGATTGGGTTCAATTCTGAATACAGCAAAGGCAAGTGGGAATTTATAGCCAAGGAGTAGGGTTGGAGTCAGTGGATGACAAATGACTAGAGGAAACATCAGGGATAAGGGCCAATTCTGGCTAAACCAATCTAACTGGATTCTTGTGGAAGGCAGGTGGGGTGTGTTGGAGGATGTGTACCTCATCAATCATCAAGGATGATCCACTATGGACTGCAAGAGATTCTACCTAAACCAACTTATAAGATGTTAAATAAAAAGTACAGAAGGACTTTGTTTTGGATTATGCTTTGTTTTGGATTGGGCTCCAACAGACTAAGCTAAAAATCAAAATGGAGTCAAACTAAAAGTTCCATATCATCACAATGAACTAAACTGTTGTGTTAGTCAGCTTTTTGTCACTGTGACAAAAAGGAAAAGTTTATTTTGGGTTCATAGTTTCAGAGGTGCAGTTTATGGTCAGTGGATTCCATAGCTCTGGGCCTGAAGCAAGGCAGAACATTATGGCAGAAGGGTGTGGTGGAGAAAGGCTTCTCAGCTCATGGAAGTGGGGCTTGCAATCCTCCTGCCTTAGCCTCCCAAGCCACTGGGATTCCAGGCATTCTCCACCACGCCCAGCTGACTCATGGCAGTTGGAAAACAGAGAGAAAGAGGAGCCAGGGATAAGATATAATTCCAAGTGCACACTCCCGGTGATCTACTTCTTTCAGCTATTTACCCCTATAGTTACCCTATAGTAGTCCTTTCAAATTACTAATCCATAAAAAAACCCAAATTATTAATCCATCAAATGCATTCACCCACTGATAAGGTTATAACTTTCATAATCCAATCTTTTCACTTCTGACATTGCTATATTACCTAACATCTGAACTCCTTAGGGGACTTTTTTATTTATTTATTTTTATACCAGGTATTGAACCCAGAGGCACTTAACCACTGAGCCACAACTCCATCTCTTTTTATTCTTTGAGACAGGGTCTCACTAAGTTGCTTTGGGTCTCACTAAATTTCTGAGGCTGGCTTTGAACTTGCATTCTTCCTATCTCAACCTCCCAAGCCGCTAGGATTAGAGGCATGTGCCACTGTGCTCAGCTTGGGGGACATTTTTAAATCAATACCATAACAGCTGTTTATTTGACCTTCTGAGATGAGAATTAGAAAACAGTCAAATTTCCCAAACAAGTCAATTTTAATACACGTGATAATGAAGATTTCACTGCTTTTATCCTTACAAAGAAGTAATCTGAAGAAAAAAATGAAGCTAAATAATCAGTTTCCTATTGTTCTGTCTTCCAGTCTCCACCTTACAAGAAAAATAACTTTGAAATGACTGATTTGCTTTTTGTTTTTGTTTTTGCTTTCTTTAAGCACTTTGTAAAACCAACCTTCTTGGCTTGGACCATGAAAACACTTATTCTATTTTATGGAATGAAGTGTTGCCTGATTCTAAGGTAGAAAATAAGACCAGTTAGATCAACTAAATTGTTGCAGTTTGTCCTTTGACACAAGATTCTTGCTAGTATTGGATAATGCAGCAATGAACACAGAAGTCCAATCTTTGTCAGTGGCCACTCTTGAAAGGTTAGAGCCAAGGTTGGGGAGACTGGCTCTGGTTCCAGCTCCCCTGGATAGCAGATGAATGTGGCAAGTCCAGGCTGTCAGTCATTACCTTAACTGGCCAGGGTAGGGGAAAGAGCTGGCTCAATAACTGAACGGATTGTTCTCCTTCATGTCCTGATGGTGGGGGAGGGGGCGTTTAAGACTAATATTTCATCCTTAGCCAACCGAAGGGTGTCCAGGTTTTCCCCATACACAGGCTTTCCTAACCATGGGGCTTCCATTCACTCACCTGAAGTGGCAGCTTTGGAGGGCAGGGCTTAGTGGAGTCTGAACATCCTGGGTGTAATCTTGACCTGTGGCTGAGGACATGGGCAAAACGTTTCACCTCTCTGGGCCCAATTCCAAGACTTAATGAGCAAAGTAACGTGTATTTAATAGAGTACAGTCATCCCTCAATCTTCATAGGGTTGTAGCCAATCTGCAGTGACCTCACAAGGATAGAACAGAGGGAGCTCCTGCATCCCTCTCTGGCCACTTCTAAGGTCCTGCTGGTGCTCATCATTGGCCAAGTCCAACAGAAAGCCAGTCAGAGAGGCAGCCGAGTGATGTGGGCTGTACTGGTGGCTTCCTGGGGCAAAATCAGGGTAGAAGTAGGACATAGCAGGCTTAAAGGATGTAGTTTAATTAGAACCATATTTGGTCTTTGACTCTGGTTCCTGGCTCAGAGCTCCTAAAACCCTTGGAATTTTTCTGAATGATAGGAGTATCTTTTATTATTTAGAATGAGCCCCCAACATAAGTTTATAGTAATGAGGTGATTTAGGACTAGGCCCTAGATGGCCTCTGAATAGAGCTGATCATCAGAAAGGCCAAGTGATTAGAGTCAGCTTCTAGACCCACCCGATGACCTCTGGGAAGGAGAGAAGGGCCTCAGACTAAGCTCTTATAAAAACTGTTGAACAATGAGATTTGATGTTCATACAGGTTTTTGAATATACTGAGGTCGTTGGGAAGGTAGTGTGCCCAGAGAGGGCATGAAAGATCTGAACACCACCCCCTTCAGGACCTTGTCCTCTGTTTCTCTTCCATCTGGGTGTTCCTGAGTTATTCTCTTATAATATACCAGTAAACATAAGGAAGTGACTTTCTGAGCTTTGTGAGCTATTATAGCAAATTATTAAACCCAAGGACAAGGTCATAAGAACGCCCAATTTGTAGGTGGTCAGTCAGGATACAATTGTAATTGGACTTACAATTTTCATTTGAAATGGAGACAGTCTTGTGGGACTGATCCCTTTGACTTATAGAATTTGATGCTAAATTTCAGGTGTAAAGTTTCAGAGTTGGACTAAATTATAGTACATCTAGCTGGTGTCCAGAGAGTTGGAGAGTTGCTTACTGTAGAAAAGTTCCACACATTTGCTATCAGAAGTATTGTGTGAGTATAGAAAAATAGTGTGATTCCAAAAAAGGGGCAGATAGAGACTATCCAGTGCTAGGAGTTTTCTTTTTTTTCTACACCATGGAGAGCTCAAGAGACTTGATGACTGAATTACAGAATCACAGAGCCTTGTGGAGGAGAAGGCCTGTCCTGTCCAGTACCAGCATCCCTGTCATCCCCAGGAGGCTGACTGCCATCTCTTTTCACAGCATATTCAGAAATTCACCAATGAAACATGGCAAGCACGCACTGGAAAACCACTGCCTGACCACATGGTTCTGCTTCTATGGTCCCTCATTGTGTCTATTTTCCCCATGGGGGGACTTTTTGGAGCCCTGCTTGCAGGACCCATGGCCATTAAGCTGGGAAGGTAAGTGATTTCTGTGTAGCACCCCCTCACCCAGTATCCTCTAATGAGGGGCATCCCAATCTGTAGGTTGAGGAATGTGAAAGAAGGACAATGCCCAGCACCCTCCAGGCCCAGATCAGCTCCTCACCTAGTCTCTCATTCCAGCTGTGTTTTTACATTGAGAGTCACATTTTCAAGGAAACTTGGTAGAGAAAGGAGTTCTGTGCAGTGAGGGAGGGAAGATTCCTGGTTTCTAGTTCCATGTCTGCCAATATGTGCAATTTGATCTTAAGCAAGTATTTTCCAGGCTTTGCTCTCCCCCTGTGTATCTGATGCAGTTCCTGGGTTGCAAACAACAAACACTGACTCTAGCTCACATGATCAAAAATTGTAAGAACTGGATGGATATTGAGGCAGCTCACAAGGAGGAAAAGAAGTGTTTAAAAGCCAGGCCTTAGCCACAGGTGGTGGCACATACCTCTCATCCCAGAGGCTTGGGAGGCTGAGGCAGGGGTTTTGTGAGTTCAAAGCCAGCCTCAGCAACTCAGTGAGGCCCTGTCTCTAAATAAAGGATTTTAAAAAGGGCTGAGGATGTGGCTCAGTGGTTAAGGCCCCGCATTCAAAAAAAAAAAAAAAAAAAAAGAGAAAAGAAAAAGCCAGGCCTCAAGAAGGGCATAAGCCCAGGTGGTGCCAAGGGTCTCAGCAGCCAAAGCTTGGGAATTTTCTTTAGGGAGGATGCCTTCAGCACGCTCAGCTCTATCATTCTATCTACAGTATCTTCATTCAAGATCCAGAATCTAGGAAGACAAGTTGTTCTTGGGTGACATGACTGCATTTATGAAGGAGTGGGAAAGAGGCAAATCCAGACAGAACACAAATGGCTACCACAGTTAACCCCTTTGCTAGCTACCAGACTATATGGACCCTTTCTCCCATACGTGTGGTCTAAAAGTGACCCCACCTAACATGCCGTATATGCCAGCATCTGTATCCACTCTTCCTTGTGTGATTACAGATGCATTGTTTTGAACACTCAGAGCGTTGTTTTGTCACAGCCACCAGGAGCAATGTAATAAGGGTATTCTTCCTGAGTGTGGGAGTTTTATGGGATCTCCATTCTTCTGCCAGCCCTGCAGTTAGTTAGGCCCTTTTGATATTCTGTACTTTATGGCAAATTTAAGGACAATATTTTCCTCTTATCTGTGAGGGATATGTTCTAAGACCCAGCGGATGCCTGAAACCACCAAGAGTGTCAAACCTTATACTTACTATATTTTTTCCTGTATACACATACCTATGATAAATTTTAACTTACAAATTAGGCATAATAAGAGATTAACAATAAAAACTAATAAAACATTGAACAATTACAATAATATATTAAAATAATATTTTTTAAAGAGAGAGAGAGAATTTTTAATATCTATTTTTTTTAGTTTTCGGCGGACACAACATCTTTGTTTGTATGTGGTGCTGAGGATCGAACCCGGGCCGCACGCATGCCAGGCGAGCGCACTACCGCTTGAGCCACATCCCCAGCCCCCTAAAATAATATATTGTAATAAGAGTTCTTCAAAACATGAATTACTTACTTGACCCTCATTTGTACTCTTTCACTCTATGTCATACCTTACTTACCAAGACATATAGGCTACTTGCTGCTTCCTCTTCTCCAGGTCCTTTCAGTGTGAACTCATCAAAGTAGTGGGCCAGCAGGATGCTCCATGGAATAATTGTGGCCCACAGCATACAACTGTTGTATCATTAAGGCAGTTTGGTTGAGGTGTATTGCTGTCCACGCTAGGTGAAAGTAAAGTGTTTCTGGCATTATCTGTGTATTGAAATAGAAAAAAAAATGCATTCACGGGGCAAAGTCTGTTTTTTGTTTTGGTACTGGAGATTAAACCCAGGGATGCTTTACCATCAAGCTGCATCCCTGCTCCCCCCTCCCACTTTTGGTACCAGGGATTGAACCTAGGAGCGCTTAACCACTGAGCCACATCCCCAGCCCTTTTTAAAATTTTATTTTGAGCCAGGGTCTCACTGACTTGCTTAGGGCCTCACTAAATTGCTGAGGCTGGCTTTGAACTCACAATCCTCCTGCCTCAGCCTCCAGAGCTGCTGAAATTCCTGGCCCTTTGTATATTTTAAAACAGGATCTCACTAACTTGCTGAGGCTGACCTCAAATTTGCTCTCCTCTTGCCTCAGCCTACCAACTTGCTGGCTTTATAGACATGAGCCCCCATGCCTGGTTTCTTCTAGGGTTTTCATTAAGCCTAAGAAATGATATATGAGTTCCTTCATTTTACAAAGGAGTTTTGGGGAAAGCAATGCTTATTCTAAAAAGCAAAAGCCATAAAATATAAATTATGTCATTTCATGCTGCTGTGCAAGCAGAAAGGAGAGTAATTTGGGGGGGGGTGTTGGGGGAGGAGTGTGAGAATGTGCATTTCAAGGCATTCCACAAGTGAGCCAAGATGCAATGGCTACTGCTCATTTCAGTTTATATAATTTATTCTCATTGACAGCACTCACACATGCATACACACATGCCTACTCACACGCACACACACACAGGTCTGTGACTGATCAGGACTGGGGGTGATACAGAAAGGAAAAGAAGGGTCCCTCTGAACCAAACCAAAGTGTCTTTTTCCTGTGTCTCACTTTCCCCAAGGAAGAAGTCGCTCCTGGTGAATAACATCTTTGTGGTGGCTGCAGCGTTATTATTTGGCTTCAGCCACAAAGCAGGCTCCTTTGAGATGATCATGCTGGGAAGACTGCTCATGGGAGTCAGTGCAGGTATGGGGGCATCTCATCCTGCCTGTCTATTCCTATTCATTCATTAGTTCCTTTATTTCCTTCTTTTGTTCCTTTTATTCACTGACATATTTTCATTCACGCCTACCTGTTTTGCAAAATATTTAAATATGGTTTATCTTAAAAGACTCAAATAACTAGATATTTACAGTAGATGTATAAAAATGAAGAAGTTGCAGGACTGGGGAAAACATCCTCAGACTTGCACTACCAACACTTTAAACCTGAGTTTCCTGGCAGCCAAGGTATAAAGAGACATAGGATTACTTCTCTAACATTCTCTTCCCCTTATCTGTGACAGATATGTTATATATCCCCTTTTCTGTGGGGAAAGGATAGCATCTTAGGAACTCATGAGTTTCTGAGGCTTGATATGTGAGGGAGAAAAAGTTTTAGTACATCTACTTCAGCTTTTAGGGATTACAATTAAGTTACAACTTGACTCTCTACTTTTATACAGCCAGATATTGATATCCGTATTAGTTACCCATTCCCGTGAAACAAATCACCCCTAAAACTTAGTGGCTTAAAACAACCATCATGGTTTATGTGCGTGCGTGCACTGCCGGGGATGGAACTCAGGGCCTCGAGCATGCTAAGTAAGTTTTCTACCACTGAACTGTAGCCTTAGCCCGTAACCATATTTATAATACCAGTTTCTGTGGGTCAGGAGCCTGGGAATGCCTTAGCAGGGTAGCTCCAGCTTGAGGTCTCTCATTAGGTCATGCTCAGCTGTCAGTTACAACTGCTACCACCTGAAGGGGCTGGATGATCTTTTCCAAGATGGTTCCCTCATAGGCCCCTGGCAGGAGGCTCCAGCTCCTCACCCTGTGGGTCTCTCTGTAGTGTTCCTTGAATATCCTCATAAAACATGGCAGCTGGTATTCTCCAGAGTGAGTGGAGAGAGAGGCGGGGGTGGGGGTGGATGAAGAGGAATTCTTAGTGCTCTTTGTGTCCCCGTTTCTGAAGTCATGCACCACCAGTTTTCCCACATTCTGTTCATTGAAAGTGAATCTCTAAGAACAACCCACACTCCAGGGGAAAGGAACTAGGTCAGACTTTGTCATTTTTCCCTGAATAAATCCAAAAAAGAAGGCATCCCTCCTCAAATGTTGGAAGGAAGAGCAGAGGTAGCCCTGAGACTCCTTGACAATCAGAGCAATTGCCTTCCTCTGAATTCTCTTCACCCATGAGAAAGGGGCTGACACTGATGGGAGATGTTTCCTGACCTCAGGTCAGAGAGTGGGGTGGAGGTTTCCCAGGTATATGATATCCTAATGTGGCCTCCTAGCTTTTTGGCATTGTAATGAATGAATAGTGGGGTGGGCAGCAAGGGCACTATCCAGTTTTGTTTTCCCATTGGCTGTATAGGTGCCAGGTGTGTCCATGGGGGAACTGGAATGAAGTGAGGACCTACATCTGTAGTGGTCAAGGTAAATTCCAGGTTGTCATTGAAATGAGAACCCAGAAAGCTGGAAGGCATCCAGGACATGGTCCTTCCCTTTTCCTTCCACCCCCAGCACTTGAGAGACTGTATTACCAACTTTTCATCACTATAATGAAATACCTGAGGCTATTAACTTATGAAGAGGAAAAAATTTATTTTTGGCTCTGGTTCTGGAGGTTCCAGTCTAACATTGTTTGTTTTGTTCTGTTTTGTTTTGGTACTGGGGATTGAACCCAGAAGTGCTTCACCACTGAACTACATCCTCAGCCTTTTTTATATTTTATTTTGAGGCAGGGTTTCACTAAGTTGAGAGCCTCACTAAGTTGCTGAGACTGGCCTTGACCTTGCAGTCCTTCTGTCTCAGCCTTCTCAGTTGCTTTGGATTATAGAGGTGCACCACCATGCCCGGCTCCAGGCCAACATTGGAGTGGCACTTTTGCTTTAGTCCTCTGGTGATGACAACATATTATGGTGGGAGTATGTGTAGGAATAAATCATTCATCTCATGAGCCAGGAAGCAAAGAAGAAGAGTAAGAGACTGAGGTCCTACAATCTCCTTTAAGATCATGCCTCCAAGCCAGGCGTGGTGGCGCATGCCTGTAATCCTAGCTGCTAGGAAGGCTGAGGCAGGAGGATCACAAGTTCAAAGCCAGCCTCAGCAGTCGGGAGGAGCTAAGCAACTCCAGGGAGACCCTGTCTCTAAATAAAATACAAAATAGGGCTGGTCGAGTGTCTCTGAATTCAATCCCCGGTACAAAAAAAAAAAAAAAAGATCAAGCCCCCAATGACCTAAGGACCTCTCATAAGGCCCCACCTCATAAAGGTCCACAGCATCTCCCAAGAGCAAGCACCTGGAGACCAAACCTTTAACACATGGGCCTTTGGGGGACATTCAACATTCAAACTGTTGCAGAGACTTTAATACCTAGAAAGATCCCATGAATATGTGGGATTGTGATGAGGGACCAAGGGATGGGGAGAGCCTATCTGGGAAAGATGACTTCTCTCCCAGGAATCCTGAGGCATTGAGCTGGGATCCTATCATCCCTATAGAAGGTGAGGTAGAACCTCTCAGAGTGTGTGTGGGGGGGTGAGAGAATGGCCCACTGAGTCACAACCCAGCAGACAAGAGGCAAGAAAGACATGCAGGCCTCACAAGGACCCTCTTTGTGGTTAAGCACCCTTGCTTTGCGCATGTCCAGGGGTGAGCATGAACGTTCAGCCTATGTACCTGGGGGAGAGTGCTCCCAGTGAACTCCGAGGAGCAGTGGCCATGACCTCAGCCATCTTCACAGCCCTGGGGATCGTGATGGGACAGGTGGTCGGATTGAGGTGAGTACCCCTCCCCCTATGCATTTAAGTGCTTTCAGGGACGCCAGTAAAAAATCTGTCTTCACCCAGATTTCTCCCCTCCCCACCATTTGATTAAAGCATTGCTTCTATGCGCGAGGGCATCAAAACCCTGTTCACAGCCATGTGTCTAATACAAAAAAAGAGCTTTTCAATCAGCCAAACTTTGGTGTGAATCACCTTTTCCCATCTTCTCCAGGATAGGGAGCAAAGAACAGTTCTTGACAGCAGGGAGGGTGAAGATTTGGGCTTTTGAAGAGGAACTTGTTCTGGCCATCATAGAAAAAAAAAAAAAAAAAAAAAAGGAAAGTGCAGAGCTTGGATCCCCAGGGAGAAAAATTGCTAGGGATAAGGTGGGGCAGGAGCCCTTCCCTCCCTCAATTCCTACCTGGTTTGGAAGGATCTTGATATCCAAACACAGAGCTAGATAGAAAGAGTCACAGGCCAACATGACCCTTTACAAGCAGGTTAGTAAGGCAGGCAGGGGGTCAAGGGGGAAGGTGAGGAGACAAATGTTCTGTCCTGTCCTCTGCCTCCCCAGGGAGCTGATGGGTGGCCCACAGGTATGGTCCCTTCTGCTGGCCAGTTGCCTGGTGCCTGGGGTACTCCAGCTCGTCTCATTGCCCCTGCTTCCTGAGAGCCCACGCTACCTCCTCATTGACTGTGGAGACACAGAGGCCTGCCTAGCCGGTGAGTCCCTGCCCTTGGGCCTCTGGACTATACTTGTTCCAAGGATGCATCTCAGCAGTACAGGTCCTCATCTTTGGGGTTTTATTTAGTAGGGAAAAGCTCTTCTTTTCTTTGTGTCTCAACTTCATGATCTATTCACATATGCCTTCAAAATTCTTTGTCAAAGGGATGTCCTAAATTATAGGGTAATAGGATGAGTCAGACCACCTTTGTCATCCAGGAAATTCAGGTGTACATAAAAACACACACACACACACACACACACACACACAGGAGAGACACTTATGTAAGACCTCACCTGCCCAATGCCAACTGGGTGATGATTGTTGTATCAGTTAACTATAATAAATATGGTCAAGGAACAATTGCAAAATCTCTGGCTTAAAACAACAATCATTTACCACATCTTTTACTCATTTATTCCTTTGGCAGCACAACTCTGCTGATCTCAGCTGGGCCAGGAATTGGTCAAGTCTGGTCTGAGCTGGGCTGCTTCAGTTCTGTATATTTGTCCTTCTTCTCAAACTCTTGGTACTAATGAACTCAGGGATGTTCTTAGTGTGATGGTGGCAGAGGCACAAGAAAGCAAAGCAGTTGCACAAGTACTTTTAAAACTTTCATCCCCCAACCCCATACCCATTAACATCCCATTCTGGTGAACATCCCATTCACATGCTGGTGAATCCAAAGCCACAGGATGGGAAAATCAATGACGTGCTCTCCCATGGCAAAGAGTGGGGTTTAAGGAGGGATGAAGACCAGGGCCCAGGAATGTATTCTTATTGATTGGCCATCATGACCACATTTTTCTTTTTTATTTTGAGATGGGGTCTCTGTATGTTCCAAAGCTGGTCTCAAACTCCTGAACTCATCAAGTAATAGGCATAGTGCCATGCCTGTCCATGGTCACAATTATTATGTATGTCCCTCCTCTCTGCAAAACATGTTTAGTCCCATCTCAGGATCCCCCAAAGTCTCAGTCATGATATCAGTTTTGAAGTCCCAGATTCTTTTTTTTTTTTTTTTTTGGACCATGGATTGAACCCAGAGATGTGTGACAAATAAGTAACATCCCCAGCCCACCCACTCACCCACCCCCGCTGCCTTTTTTAAAATAATATTTTTTAGGTAGATGGACCCAATATCTTTATTTATTTATTTATTTATATGTGGCACTGAGGATTGAACCGAGTGCCTCACACGTGTGAGGCAAGTGCTCTACCACTGAGCTACAACCCCAGCCCCCCCAGCTCTTTTTTTATTTTACTTTTTTGTTTGAGACAGGGTCCTGCTAAGTTGCTTAGAGCCTCACTAAGTTGTTGAGTCTGGCTTTGAACTTGTGACCCTCCTATCTTAGCCTCCTGAGCCACCGGAATTACAGGCTTGCGCCACTGAGCCAGAAAAGAAGTACCAGATCTTAGGATCGCATTGAATTATATGTACCTTTTTTTTTTTCCCCCTTAGTACTGGGTATTGAATCGAGGGCCTTGCACATGCTGGGCAAGCACTCTCAGCCTTGAAAGCTACATTCTAAACCATTTTATTTATTTTTGAAACAGAACCTGGTTAAATTGCCCAGGCCGACCTCAAACTGGCAATCTTCCTGCTTCAGTCTCCTGAGTCGTTGTTATTAGAGGTTTCCACCATGCCCAGCTTTTATTATTTTTTTTGAGATCAGTTCATTCTAAGTTGCCTAGGTGGGCCTCAAACTTTCAGTCCTCCTGCCTGAGCTTCCCTGTAGCTGGAGTTACAGGTGTGATCACTACTTCCGGCTATGTGCCTTTTTCCATCCAGAGACCATGGTTTTAAAAAAACAGGTCTTCTAAATTTAAAACTATAAACTTCTTAGAAGGAAACAGATATAAATATATGGGCTTTGGATTCAGCAATCGTTTTTTTCAATATGACAACAAAAGTATGGTCAACAAATTAAAAATATAGATAAGTAGATATCACAAACTAAAAGAAAAAAAACTGTCATGCTTCAAGAAGATAAGAAAATAAAAAGGTGTCCGGTGCGGTGGCACACACTTGTAATCTCAGGGGCTAGGGAGGCTGAGACAGGAGGACTGTGAGTTCAAAATCAGTCTCAGCAACAGTGAGGCGCTAAGCAACTCAGTGAGACCCTGTCTCTAAATAAAATACAAAATAGGGCTGGGGATGTGGCTCAGTGGTTGAGTGTCCCTGAGTTCAATCCCTGGTATCCCCCCCAAAAAGAAAAAGAAAGTAAAAGGCAACTTGTGGAATGGGAGAAAATTTTTGCAAATCATTTAACTGGAAAATGAGTTGTATCTAGAATATGTAAAGAACTCATAGCTCAGCAACAAAAAGACAACCAATTTTCAAATGTCAAAGGATCTGAAAAGACATTTTTACTTAGAAGATATACAAGTGGCTGATATGTGCATGAAAAAATGCTCAACATTGGGGCTGGGGAGTTAGCACAGTTGGTAGAGTGCTTACCTTGCATACACAAAGCCCTGGGTTCAATCCCCAGCACCAAAAAAAAAAAAAAAAAAAAAAAGCTCAACATCATTATTCACCAGAGAAATGCAAATCAAAATCATAATGAGATGCAATTTCACATCCATTATGATGGCAATAATTTAAAAAATCACATAGAAACCAGTGTTGGCAAGAACATAAAGAAATTGGAACCCTTAATGTAAAGTGGTGTGATAATTTAGGAAAACAATCTGGGAGTTCCTCAAATGATTTAAATAGAGAGTTACCATATAACCCAGCCATACAACCCAAGGGAAATGAAACCTATGCCCCCTGCCCCCCAAAAAAACTTTGTATATGAATATTTGTAGTAGCATTATTCATAATAGCCAAAAGGTAGATGCAAATAAAGCATCCATCAACTAATGAATAGATCAATAAAATGTGCATATTCATACATTGGAATATTATTTAACCATAAAAAGGATTGAGTAATTGATACATGTTGCAATGTGTATGAACCTTAAAAACTTGCTACAATTCACAATATCCAAGTTATGGAAACAGCCTAGATGTTCATCAACAGATGATGGACAAAGAAAATGTGGGAGAGATACACAATGCAGTTTCATTCAGTCATAAAGAAGAATCAAATTATATCATCTTAAGTGAAGTAAACAAGACAAAGAAAGTAAAGGGCTATATGTTTTCTCTGATATGTGGAAGTGAGAGAGGAGAAAGGGAAGGAAAAAAGGAATCTCATGAAAATGGCAGGAAGACCCATAGAGTAGAGACAGGGGATGGGGGAAGGATGAGGAAAGGGCAGGTTAGGGGCTGAGGAAGGAAACTAAGCAAGTGTGTCATGTGCGTGTATAAATATGCCACAATGAAATTCACTATTCTGTCTGCGCCAATAAAAAACTTATGCTATGTAAGAGAAGCCAGTCACAAAAAGCCACATGTATGATTCCATTACATGAAATGTCCTGAACAGGCAAGTTTGGGATTTCTCTTCATGGTTCTAAAATTCATTGTGGTGATGGTTGCACAACTCTGAACTCATTAAAAACCACTGAGTCATGTTCTCAGAAAAAAAGGACCTAAAAGGGTGAATTGTATGGTATGTAAATTATATCCCAAAATAGATGTGTTTTTTTTAAAACGATGAACTTCTAAAACTGAGTAAAAGAAGTGGAAGAGGTTGTAAGTTAAAACAAGTTCACTTGTTGAATTAAAATAGTTGACGGAATTTCCACCTGAAAATGTCTATGTTCTCACTGAGATAGACTTCCTAGCATAACCATATGCTAGTAAGAGTTTGTAATCCGAAAATGATGTGTCAGATACAAATAATGCAGAGGTAACACAGTTCCAGGTAATGACAAGCTGCAAGGTGTGTCCTGAGCGTGGGTGGCTAAGGTGGAGTGGAGGAGGAGTCGCCAGAGACCAGGGAAGTCAGGGAGCTTAATGCAACCAGAAGTATTTGCTAAATTGAATCAAGGAATTACTTCCTTGTAATTACTCCTTGTATCAGGCAGTATTAAAGCATCAATGTAACTTTTAAAGTCTTAAAAATTATTACTATATTTTCCCTAGGCAAATTTTATTTTTATTCTACTGAATTCAGGGTTAGGTGTATGAATTTAAAGGAGACCACACTCAAGTTACTTCTCATGTGTGGAAGAAAAAAGAAAAGGAGATTTTTTTCAATATTCTATAATTACACTAAGAATATATATAAAAGAAACTTTAGGAGAATAAGCTTCCAGAAATTTAGAAGCAAAACAATGAATATACAAGACCATAAATAAAATACTGAGCACCTTTGTCAATTGATTCCAAAGATTCACCTAAGACCATCTTCCTTTGCAGCTCCAAGATTAGCAGAGTCAGAGGGAGGGTTTTTCTGGGAACCCCATAGGCTTTTTCCCTTCATCAACCCAACCCAGAGGATTTTTTCATGTCCCAACTGATCTTTTCTTAGAAGCCATCATTTGCTTTCACCTGTGGGGTCCCTACACTCCTGGTCTCCAAGTATAGTTTGGAGTATAATTTCCCCAATTTCATTGTTCCCAAACCAGTCTCCTCCACTAAGACACACTAAGAGTCCAAGGAAGGATATAGAATCCATTGCATTCAGCACTGAGTAATTTAATAAGGAGAATTGGATGGGTGTTTACAAATTAACTAGAATGATTGGAGGACTAGGCTCTAGGTAGTGGCTACAGGAATATTCCCAGAGAAACACAGAACTGAGCATCCAGGCAAGCTCCTGGCTCTGCAGTGTTCAGGATGATGACCAATCAGTCAACTAACACTGGAACTGCTGAGTTTATGAATCTGCAAGCATAGCTGCGATCCTGGAATCAGAAAGTCAGGACCAGGAAACTACCACTGTCACACCACAACTGTTTCTCAACACCCATAAAGCCAGTGACTGGATACTAGACCAATTCAGAGAAACTTCAAGATTTTGGAAATGGTCCAAGATCTTGTTCACCAGCAGAAAAAGTAAAAACTTGGAAGTGAGGTAGTTTCTGTTTCACTTCTACTTTCTAGGCTAAAATCAGAATGTGTATAATAAATTCATCCAGGAGAAAAAAAAATAGGTCTTCTTCCCATCCCACACTCAGTGCATAATGGTCAAAGTGAGACAAGGTAACCAGAATTTAAGAGTTTAATTTCAAACACAAGGTGGCCAGAAGGCACAAAGCAGTCATTGATCCATAACAATTCTGTAATGCCACTGGGAACACTTGCCAGGTTTCCCTGGCTTAGAGGTGGGGCTTGATCTGCCCCCTGGGAGGGGTTCTCCATGGTTTTTGCTTCTGCCCTCTGAGATAATCCTCCTTTTCTGTCACCTTCCTTTATACTTTCTGGAGAGTATTGGGAAGTGTGCTGTTTTTAGTGGTTGAGCAAATTTCTCAGCTGCTGCCTGTAGGAAGTTAGGGTATTGAGGTCTTTATATTTCAAACTGTTGCAGTCTTTTTTTGTCTAACTGGCAGAGCTTTTGCTAATACAGTCTTCTCAAAAATGATGTGAATTTTCTATGTATTTGATTTACATGCCGAGAGAGAGAGAGAGAGAGAGAGAGAGAGAGAGAGAGAGAGAGAGAGGGGGAGGTATGTGTGGAGATATTTTGGGGTGAGGTGAAGGGTTTACTGCTGGGTAGTATCAAAGAAGGCTGAGGGAGGGGAAGTGCAGCACCCTTCTCTGTCTCAGCTCTGCAGCTGCTGCGGGGCACCCAGGATGTGGCAGAGGAGATGGAAGAGATGGAGGAGGAGCGTGCTGCCTGCCAGGGCCGCCAGGCACGGCGCCCATGGGAGTTGTTCCAGGACCGGGGCCTGAGGAGGCAAATGACAAGCCTTGTGGTGCTGGGCAGTGCCATGGAGCTCTGTGGGAATGACTCGGTGAGGCTCTGCCCTGTCCTGTCCTGCACCCTAGGTCTGCTGAGGGTTTGTGCTGTAGGCAGGTGGGAGCCATGGAAGGTTGAGGGGAACCAATGCTTCAGAGCTGCCTCTCCTGCTGGCCCAATCCTAGGTGTATGCCTATGCCTCCTCAGTGTTCCGGGAGGCAGGAGTGCCTGAAGAGAAAATCCAGTATGCCATCATTGGAACTGGGAGCTGTGAGCTGTTTGCAACTTTTGTTAGCGTGAGTCTAGATTTGGGCCCCACCCCTACCCCTAGTCCTGCCAGGAGGGATGCTTGGGATACTGATGCTCTTAGGACTTTGCATTAAGCTATTTTCCACTCCTGTTCGTGGTGGTAAAGTACAGCAAGTCGGCAAGCATTCCTACTGTTGGCTGGGCATTCACACCATTGCTTTGAGATGAGAACCCTAAATGAAGTTAAGTAATTAACCAAGGTCCTCTGGGATATTAATAAAGCCGTGACCTTCTGAAGCAATAAACTGCATCTCCCTCTTAACACACACCAGCTTTCCCATGAGGCCCCTCATATTGTCTGTTCCCAAACCAAGAGCCCAGTGTGTGGTACCTTCCTGAGTGGCTCCTTTCTTTTGCAGTGCGTGGTGATTGAAAGGGTGGGTCGGAAGATGCTGCTGGTAGGGGGATACTCTCTGATGACCTGCTGGGCCAGCATCTTCACAGCTGCGCTGTGTCTGAAGGTAGCTGGGGGTGTGAGGGGTGGTAGCTGGGCCAGGTTTGATTTCCACCTCACTCCACCTTATCTGCTGCAGAGCTCCTTCCCCTGGATGCCCTATCTGGCCATGTCCTGTGTCTTTGCTTTCATCCTCAGCTTTGGCATCGGCCCTGGTGAGTGGGTCTGAAGGCCTCTGGTCTTTGGGCTGAAGGAACAATGGGTGTCTGAGTGAATGATGGTGGATGTGACTGTAATGTCATTTTCAAATCCCAGACCCACTTGTGCTGAGGCTTCTGGGAGGACTAGAGGAGGACATCCAGGGGCCCCCATGCAGATGGCACTAAGATGACAGAGAGGCAGGACAAAAAGCCCTGGATGATAGCCCTCTGTCCTCTTCTTGTAGCTGGAGTAACGGGAATCCTGGCCACAGAGCTGTTTGACCAGACAGCCCGACCTGCTGCTTACATGGTCTGTGGGGCCCTGATGTGGACCATGCTCTTCCTGGTTGGAATTGGGCTCCCCTTTGTCATGGTAGGCCTGCCCTTCCCCCTGGGTGGGAGGCCCTGCTTCAGGTTTTGTCCCTATCACTGGAGCACCCCAGGGAGTGGCGCCTCTGTACATGAGAACTGAGGCCAAGTGGGAGGGACCTTATGTGAACCAAGGGAGCAAGTCTTTCCTCATAACTTGTCATGGACCTTCCATTGAGAAGGGGCACAACAGGTCTTGGGGTCTCTGTTAACCCACAGGAGAGCCTGTCCCACTTCCTCTTTGTTCCTTTCCTCTGTATCTGCGTCTGTGGAGCCATCTACGCTGGATTGTTCCTCCCTGAGACCAAAGGCAAGACATTCCTGGAGATCTCTGAGGAATTACACAGACTCAGCTTGCCCGTGCGGGCCCAGGGCCCCACAAGGAGCAGCAGGGAGGTCATCCAGTCCACAGAGCTATAGCTGCACAGTTGTGGCAGGTGCTAAAGGTGGCTGCTGCCCTGTCCTTTGCTTTTCAGAATGACTTGCATTTTAACGAGTGTTTATTCAGGACCTACTCTGTGCAGGCATGGTACCAGGTGTTTAGCAATTATTGGTGAGCCAGGGAGGCAGGACATGCAACCACTTGATGCTCAATGTCTAAAGATAACCAACAGGAAACCAATTAAAACATTACTTGTCGGAATGCAGTGGAAGAGAAATACAGGTGGTGCTGGGACCCTGACCTGGTCTGGGAGGAGGTGGTCAGAAAAGGATTTTCTGAGAAACCGATTTTTGAAATCAACTTTATTGGAATATAATTTACATACAATCATATGTATCCATTTTAAGTAAACACCTGCCGAGTTTCGACAGATGTATACACCCATGAAATACCACTATAATCAAGGTAGACCATTCTCATCACCTCCAAAGCACCCTTATACCCGTTGGCTATCAATAACCCACTCCACCCCCTACCCCAGGCAACCACTGATCTGTTTTCTGCCACTATCAGTCAGATTTGCCTTTTTTATACTTTTATATAATTCTATATTATTTGTACACATTTGTGTCCGGCTTTCTTTGGATAAAGTTTAGTTGCATGTGTTAGTATACATTCCTTTGTGTTGCTGAGTAGTTATCCCCTGTATGGATATACCATGATTTGTTTATCCCTTTGCCTGTTGGGGGCTGGGGATATAGCTCAGTTGGTACAGTGCTTTCCTTGCATGCATAAGGCCCTGGGTTCAATTCCCAGCACTGCCAAAAAAAAAAAAAAAAAAAAAAAAAAGTCCCTTTGGTAGACATTTGGATTACTTCTAATTCTTGGCCATCATGAATAAAGCTGCTGTGAATATTCCTATGCAAATTGTTGGATAGATGTGTATTTTCATTTTCTGTGCATCTGTTTGGGCTGCTATAACACAGTATCATAGACTGGGTGGCTTATAAACAATGGAAATATACTCCTCATAATTCTGAAGGCTGGAAAGTCCAGGGTTAAGGGCCCACTTCCCGGTTTATAAACATTTATTTTCTCGCTGTAACCTCCCATGGCAGAAGTGAAGAGCTTCATCTCTTTTATAAGGCACTAGTGGATCCCATTCATGAAAGCTCTACCCTCATGACCTAATCACGTCTTAAAGGCACAACTTCCGAATACCATCATATTAGGTAGCAAGAAATCTCTAGAGAGTAATATTTATTTGGGAATGACAGAGCATTGCAATGGGAATATGTGGGCCAATACTAAACTATGGGTGCATTCAAGAAGGTCAGACAAGTAGTTTTTATAGGGAAAAAAGGAAAATTTTTTGGTGAGCTGCGTGGATAAAAAGTATTCATTGGTCTGTTTTGCAAGGTGATTATAGTAGTGTTTTATACTCTCACTAGCAGTGATTTGAGAGTTCTGGATACTCCAAATCATCAATACTTGGTTGGTATTGTCAATCTTTTCAATTTGGCCATTCTAGTGAGTGTGTAGAAAGTAGTGTCTCTTTGTGCTTTAATTATGGTATTTCCTTGATGACTAATAATGTTGACCACCTTTTCATGTGTTTAGTATGACCATTTATCTGCTTTTGTGAAGAATCCTTTCATATCTTTTGTCTACTATTTTTATTGAGTTGCCTTATTTTTTTAATTAACAAGCATTTTTATTAACTTTTTTTTGAAAAATTGATTATGAGTTTAATATTATATTTTTAATATTATATTTTTACCTGGGCGACACATTTAATGGTTCTTAGGAATAAGAATCAAAATAGTCATTAATGTAACTAGACTACATAGTTGTATCAAAAAAGAGAAAAAAAATCAGTGTTTTGTAACTAAGTCTGAGTTTAGAATATATCACCTGCTTTAAATAATATTTAAATCCTAAAAGATGAAAGACATTTTGCAGAAGAAAACAGCCTCAGGAAGGAAACATTACAAAAGATATAATAATAATTACTTTGAATCAAATTTATGAATCAACTTCTTTCTCCAAACAAGATTCCATGTCTCTAAAGAACACAGGTTTCTAATTCCAGAAAGATAGTTGTCAAAACTTTAAATACTTCTCTAACAATTACATTCTCTATCTGGATCAAACTTTTACCGCCCAACATTTCTTGCCATTTGTTTTATTGTCAACAAAGCCTAGGTGCCGGACTTTGTGAACTATGACACAGCTAGACCTTTAAGTAATTATTATAACTAATATATCTAATAGTTATTTGCTAAGAGTAATAGAATGATATACACAAACCCCTTATGAACTAAAATAGTACTTCTGCACACTTTTCTTTGCAAGAGTTTTATTAACCCAGAATACACTCAAGGGGTTTGGACTTTCATTTTGACTTTTGACTTTCATTTCTAATCTGTATAGGCCTATTAATAACCAAATTTATTAAGTTATGACAGTTTGAACTGCATAACATTTCTTAAAATTTCCTTCTTGAGCTCTGTATTACCTCAAAAAGCAATCTATTCACTAATGGTCTGTTAAACATAAATAAATATTTAATACCAATAAAATACAATATATAATCAACATTGTATAACAAAAATTATCAAGCTCTACTTGAAAGCCTTAAAAAATGACTCTGGAAGAATTAAGCTATTTTATTTAATATGTAATAGATAGTTGGCATAAAGCAAAGTTTATGTATTTAGTTTTCTCATATTTTATTGTATTTCCACAAACCATTAAGATATAACTTTAGGTATTTTTCCATCAGTAAGGCCAGATATAGATGATTTCTTTTTATAGGTAACTGAAGGTTTTAACAGGGTTTAGACTGAAAAATCAGGTACCGTTTAGTCATAACATCATATAAAGACCTTTAATCAGGAAAAATATTTTTAACATTATTGCTTAAGTCTTATAAACATGTTGAATTTTAACCAAATTGATACCTCTCCAATCTTGTTTCCTTTACTCTTAAGTCATACTTTTTGGCAAATATATAGGTAATGATGTAATTTTAAAATTAAATTAACTGTGAATAAATTCTAATTTGTTGGTCAGTGCATATATTTTGCCCCCACTTTACCTAGTATATTCCTCCTGGAAAAAGTGACTGTCCCACATGAAAACAACAACAACAACAACAACAAAATTCAGAGCTTTATTTCTTCCTTGAAGATTTTCAGGTATTATAGGAACAAAAAAGTCCATAAAGAAAAAAAAACTGGTTAAAAATTTGACATTTTCATCTTGCTTTACTAATTATTGGATAACAGAAATATAAAAAAAAATGTCCCTTATTATTTCTTTAACATAATAATAATACACTAAGAAATACAGTAATTACACTCGAGATATTTTCTGGCTTCTTCAAGTAAGGGACACAACTATGGTTCTACCAATGAGGAGATATGAATAATCAGTCTCATGGAACACAAAAAGATAAATTGACTTTGGCTTTTAAAAACAAAAACCTAATGTGACCCTGAAATGCCTGATTCAGCAACAAAAAGTTACAGCTGCAAGCCACCACTTCACTACACAGAATTCTGAAAGAGGCAACAGCCCTCCCTCAACCTCAGTCTGTGATATCTTCTTTTTATTCTGTTTTTTTCTGCTTTTTGGATGTAGACAGTTCAAGGCTTGCCAACTGCGTAGGTTCAGCTTTTCTCATGGTGATCTCAATCTTTGTTGCAATCATAGTTACATAGCTCTGTTTTACATCAGTCACACCCCATACTTTGACATTTTGACGAAATTCCTTCTCTCCTTAAAATATAATGTGTACATTTAACGATGTACTATGAGCTTCTACTCGACTAAGTTCTGGAAGTGAATTTTTAGCATATACTGAAATGGTGACTTCACCCCCAGTCTGATGCGTCGTGTCTACATGGAACAACTGTTTTCCCAGCACCCTTTCTAGTCCACATGTGTTTCCCTGTTTTACATAAAGCCTTCTTAGGCTAAGACTGTTTTAAAATCAGAGGTGTTCCTTCTACAGCTGCTCCAATATTTCATCCCCTCATGGAAAATATCATTCCTCCAGAATGATACACACAGACTTCTTCTAGACTCTGTAGACCTGATATGTCTTTGGACACCCTCCATTTTTACATGAGTTCCCAATCTTAATTTCATCACTGTCATCTTCTTTCTTATCTTCCTTCATTCCCAGACCATAATTTAAGTTTATCAAGTGCTTGTTTTAGGGAGGCAGATTTTTTTTAATGACATATTTTAAACCAAATATGTCACTGGTTCACTGGTCTTGGCCTTTTTATCGCTTCCTCTGGTTTAGGGGCTTGAATTATGGGCTCCTGAAATTTGGGTTTCAATTCAGATAGTTCTTTCCTTTCAGTAGTCTTGACTTCAGACTTGACTGGCTCAGGTGGCTTCTCACTATTATGTCTACCTTTTATACAGCCCACAATGTTTAAAAAATCAGAAAAATCAGTTGTTGTTCTTTTACAGCAAGTCCAACCCTTTAATGCATCATTAAAGACTGGAACACCTGGGTGATATGTGCAAGTATCACCCGAATTGTTCTCGGGGTCAAAGCGCTGGCCACAGCCCCTATTGTAACACAGCACGGCCCACTTCTCCTCCCACCATTACAGACAAGGACCAACCACTAGGAACCGCAAGACAGGGCGACTAACTCTGCTGTAGCAAGCGCTGACCTGATGCTTAGGGCGGCTGCAGGCTTCCTGAAACCACCGGTTCCCGGGTTGTCTTTTTTTGTTTTGTTTTGTTTTATGTATTTATTTTATTATTATTATTTGGTTTTTAACTCATCTGCATTTATTACTCTTTAAAGCAGAATGTTGACTTGGGTACTAATATTTCCATTCAAGCCTTATTGAGTTACTTTTTGAACAGCTTTGTAACACACCTATTGAACCATGATGCAAAGAAAAGACCACTGGTCTTTTAAATCAATGAAAGCAAGCTTGTATCATGTACACAAGGAAAGCTGGCCACCAGCGATGGTCTCTCCCAAAACCGGGCTAGAGATCAGCCC